TGTGACTGTCTTGTGTCTGGAACCAGGGAGTAACTGAAGATCAGGGAGAATCTGGTTAATTAACAGTAATATAATTTTGAGTTCTTTGAATCATGTGTATCATTTAGACTGGCTCTGGTTTAGAACAAAACACTTTCTATGCTAGTATGTTTCCAATTTACCTTGACTTAGTATGGTGAAGATTCAAGATAAAATTAAAAGTGTTGGCCTGATTTTCACCCTGCAGTCCTTAAATACTTTTTCTCCATTTGTGTAAGATGGTCATTGCTGACTTTCAGCATTGGTTGGGGAAGAGGGAGCTCACATGGTCATGCTGCTGTTCAAGTTCCAATCCCTGAACTGGGATGGGTACATGTCACTATAAAATGTGATGAAGAAGATGATAGCACCTTTGAAAATCTATACCTGGCCTCCCTCAGCATTCTAGACTGGAACCTAGCCTCGTAGGACTTCTAAGGACATGTGATTCACTCCTTGGCAGCCTCTAATTTTTTTTTTTTTTTAAAGTAGTGCTGTTGTCTCCTGGGCATCTGGGAATCATCATGGAAAGGACCAAGTGATCTTTGTTCCCAAGAGGGTTGGAGAATGAATGATCTGTATATTCCAGGCCTCACTGTGTCTTGAGGGAGAAAAATAGAGCCCAAGTCAGAAAAGGACCCTGCTGGAATAAGTGGACATGAGCACCAGGTCCCCTATATCACCCAGGGATGGCCTTCACATAAGCCTTCTCTGACAATTCAGCCCCTGATCTCATCACTCATATACCTTCTTGTGGTCTAATCAGGCCTTCTCTCTTGGCCAGGCATGGGCATCAGAACTGCTGCTGTGACTTCCTTCATGTGCCCCAGCAGTCGCCCAAAGGGCCCTGATGTCCTGCCTGCCATGGGGGTTAGGCTCCACAGCTTCTGACAGCCGGGGGGTCACAAACTCTCCTTTGCGAATCCTCTGAAATCTGTGTGTCACTAAAGGATAGTAGGTGCCAGTCACTTCAGGGGATCAAAGCAGCAGTCAGAGAGGAATTATGTTGGTCAGTTTTGCATTGTTATAAAGGAATACCTGAGACTGGGTAATTTACAAAAAAAGATGTTTAGGCGGCTCACGGTTCTGCAGGCTGTACAAGCATTGCACCAGCATCTGCTCAGCTTCTGGTGAGGCTTCAGGAAACTTTTACTGGTGGTGGAAGGTGAAGGGGGAGCAGGTGTGTCACATGGTGAGAGAAGGAGCAAGAGAGATGAGAGGAGGCACCAGGCTCTTTTTAACAATTGGATCTGTGTGAACAAGCAAGAGCTCACTCGTTAGTTGGTGAGGAGGGCACCAAGCCATTCATGAATGGCATGACCAAACACCTGCCATCAGGCCCTACCTCCAACACTGAGGATTAATTTCAACATGAGATTTGGAGGGGACAGGCATCCAAACTATATCAGGGATACAGACTGCTCTGCCCAGCCTTCCTGAAGGTGCTCAAGCCTCTACTCCCCTAACAGGATATTTTTGGCCTCCGGATATTCTGTGAGATTGTTACATACCAGGTAGGTAACTGGCCTGTGCAACGTCTTGACAATAAAAGATATTTACTCAAACCCAGGAATAACAGTGTATATTCACAAACTTTGTGCCTTTAAAGAGTCATTTTAGCATTCATTTATTCATGCACCTACACATTCACTTAGTGATTCATTTATATATTCATTCAACAAACATTGAACACTAATTCCAGGTAGGCAGCTTAATGGGGAAGAGGGAAAATATTGAATCATATTCTATTGTATCACGTCCCCCAAAACTGCAAATTGTCTAAATTTTGAAACTGTTGTTAAGTTAAATGGATGTTTATTAAGTTTCTAAAAATCAAAATAAAGCTCTCATGTCATAGAAACCAACGTTGAAGAATTAGCAAATTCATTTCCACATTAAAAAATAATAAGTAATTAGCCTGGCATTGAACTTGTTGTACGTTCTGGGACATTTTGGCATTTGTGCAATTACCACTATACTTTTATATGGCATCAATTACACTGTAATAGGCTCATGGCAAATAAGTATATCATGACTTCTAATATAAAGAACAGAAACTACTAAGTAACCTTAGTAGTTAAAATTCTTGATCCACATAACTACCTATTACCAGTTAAGTTGTGGAATCTGTGGTTTTGGTATATAATTGTCCGAATTAAATACATTAATGTGTAATTACATGAAAAGAAACCATGTAGCTTAATTCAATTACAATTGTTATCACTGAATGTAAAGTGATACCAATTAAACCTTCTTTTAAACACCACAAATTAAGATTTAACTACTGAAGAAACTCTAGAATGTAAAGTGATGGTCTACTATAGGTGGAATATCCCTTAGTATTTTCGGAGATTTAATGGCATTCCTAAAATTAAAAACATCTTTCTCCTTTATTGCTGGCATTAGTTGTGCCTTATTCAGGAGAGTTTCTTTCTTTTTTTTTTTTTTTTTTTTGAGAGAGTCTTGCTCTGTCACCCCAGGCTGGAGTGCCGTGGCATGCTCTCAGCTTACCACAACCTCCACCTCCTAGGTTCAAGCAATTCTCCTGCCTCAGCCTCCCAAGTATCTGGGACTACAGGCATGCACCACCACACCTGTCTAATTTTTGTATTTTTAATAGAGATGGGGTTTCACCATGTTGACCAGGCTGGTCTCAAACTCCTGACCTCAAGTGATCTGCCCACCTCAGTCTCCCAAAGTGCTAGGATTAATAGACATGAGCCACCGCGCCCCGCCAGGAGAGTTTCAAACAGGCACTAATTAACATCTTAAAAGATATCAACAATTTCAGCATTTGCATGTTGACAAAGAGACAAATTGTGAAATCTGTATTCATATAGAGTAAATATTTAATTTCAGTGGGTGGGCAACGGGGTGGAATTTGAAAAAGGCAAGGCCTGATATTAATGCTAATACTATTACTTAAATTATGAAATTTTGTTTATCAAAAACAGTTGGGTGTTGGCAATTTTGTACCATCCAACCTAATAAGATAGTAGCAATTAAACTACTTTATAAATAGCATAGCAATAAAAATGCCACCTTTATGATATATTTATCCCTCATGTATATTGAGTTGATATTTTCCAAGCTGAGTGAACTTGGACAAGTTATTTCATTTCTGAGTCTCAATTTTTATCTTCAGGAAACTGGGGGTAATAATAGCTACACAATGGATTACTGTAATGATTAAAAGGGGGCAACATAGTCAAAGACCTTGGAACAGTGCTTTAATATAAAATAGTCATCTCTCCCACCTCCCCATTAGGCGTCTTTTATGCTTAAATGCATACTTGTACAAGGCACCAATGGCTTAGATCTGTTAAGAGTCTAAAACGTATCAGATGAGTGAGAATTTCATCAAACTTGTAATTTTGACACAGCACATACATATTTTTCACGTGAGATACATATTTTTAACAGGAGAATCTGATAATACGTGATTGAATTTTTAGAGCTGGTTTTTTTTCTAGCAGAACTTTAGATATTTAAGAAAATTTTCTGCATAAGAGTCAAATTTTCCCTTCATACACCCCCTGTTTCTAACCTACATGTGCTGCTCTATGACCAGGTCTAAATTCCAGATGTTCCAAGTAGCTCTTCATTTAGTCTTGTCTTCTGATGGCACCTAAACAAATATATCAAAACTTGTACAACATTTAGAAAGTGGAACTTGAAGATTTTCTTTCTGTTAGACAAATAGACGCCATCTGGAAAAAATAACCCCAGGCACTTGGACACAGGAGCATGACGCTTGTTGGCTGGACACCCAATGAATACCTTACACTACTTTCTTTGGCTCCCACCCTTGCCTGTTCATTTCAAATCTTGAACACTTGAGCAGGCGCCGGACTGTTAGACAAGGGAATCCTTGTTCCCCATACACCCAAACACTATGAAGGCTCGCTCTTAATTTGAAAGATAAGCTTGCAAGAATTATCTGGACCGAAATGTTTCCTTTCATACTGTGACACCTGTTCTATGAAGGACTGCTATATATCACTGTGTATTTAATATTAATTGGTAACAATGTTTTATTTTTTATTTCTTCCATATATTTTTCAACATTTGCCACATCCCATTTTAAACAGGCGTGTCCTCATATAATCTTTCCTTCCTGCTCCCCTCCCTCCCTTTCTATTTTATTTAATGCTAGATTGTAAAAGAAAAAAAAAAAACCCATGTATGTAACTGCTACTAATTTTACTGACTGACTTTTATTCCAGGATTAGTATTATAATAATATTAGTACTATTTTTTGCCTTTCAAAATGGACAGAACTGAATTTAAATAATTGCAATATTATTTGTCAGCTCAGCTCTTAGGGGGAAATCAAGTAAATCTTATTGGAAATCATAAAAGTAATCTTCACTTTGATTTTGATGATAAAATCTTTATGATAAAAATAGCTCTTAATGGCCTTTTTTTCATATATCAAACTTTCAGCGGAACTACACTTTTATGCAGCATGCTTAAGTCACTTCTTTTCTAAGACATTTTCTTTTGTCAATTGTGAGCAGGTAGCCTTTCAAAACCCAAAAGCAATTGCCCAGAACTTCTGGAATTCATTTTTATTACATCCCATGATCTGAGCAGTAGGGAGCCCTGTGAAACATGTTTGATCAAACATTAATTTTATAAATTGCCTTCCTTCCCTACAATTCCCATGAAAAAGGTATTCAGCTAGATTAAAACTCTGGAAAATTTTAATGGGAACTTTGAAATCTGTTTGAGTTCAGCTTTTTGGAAAAATAAAACCACCTAATGGAAGTAGTCTTTATACCAGAAGTAGATCTGCCTTTGAGGCAATTTTCTTTCATGCATAATGATGAAATGGCAGCAGGATAATCTGAAAGTTTGAAACGTCTTTGCCAAATCCATACGCTGCTTGTAATAATATCTAAAGGGTCAAGTGTGTTTGATATGATGATGAAGAGCAAGAAGATGATAATTTGCAACAATGTCACTCTTGTCTTTCACAGTCCTACCCTGGTCCAAGCCTGGAAAGTGAAGACTTCAACATTCCACCAATTACTCCTCCTTCCCTCCCAGACCACTCGCTGGTGCACCTGAATGAAGTTGAGTCTGGTTACCATTCTCTGTGTCACCCCATGAACCATAATGGCCTGCTACCATTTCATCCACAAAACATGGACCTCCCTGAAATCACTGTCTCCAATATGCTGGGCCAGGATGGAACACTGCTTTCTAACTCCATTTCTGTGGTAAGAATCTGCTTACCTGTTTGTGGTGGGGGCTGAGGGATACCGTAAGCACACGGACCAAGTTCATGCGAAGGCCTGGCGTTGTGATGATAGCATTCTGAAACTGTTTCTAGCTATGGAGACAGTTCTTTAGAAATCATACACATTTCTAAAGCAATGTTCTGTTTTATATTTAAGTCAAGGCAAAATCAATTAATTACTTGTGCAGTCACTCATATTAATGACCCAAAGTACTAAATACTGTTTGACACTGAATGTGTTGTCATAGAGTCAAACCAGCTTACCAGCTTTCAGAGAAAAAGTCACCTTGAAAGATGCCACCTCTCATCCAGTGGAGGATTCCTCCCCGTAAGGGAGATCCCCACATCTTCTCAACTGGAGCTGCTGTTAACCTTGATTTTCCTTCCTATTTTCGGCTCTCAAGTTCCACAAATGTATACCATAGGAAAATAAGAAAACAATTTTCAGTTTTATTTTGGAGGTATAATTCTGATGAAAAAAAATGTATCTCCATTAAAGTGTTTCAGTCTACTGGACCTGTTGTTTAACAATTTATAATGACAACACTATGAATTCCCCTTAATTTTTCAAATTTAATAGGAATGTGTATCAACCAGCAAACTAGCAAAAAGTCAAATTCTCAGGGTCTACCCAGGGGCTCCAGGGGTTTGCATTTTTTACAAGCATCCCACACTTGAGAAACACTGGTTTATTACAAAATCTTTCCTTCTGATTTTTATGTCTTTTGAAACTTAATAATTTCTCTGTCTATACCCCAATAGTGGAAAAAAAAAATCAGTAGTATATGGCCGAGGAGAGAGCTTTAGACCATGTCATAAAACCCTCCTCCCAGGTTAACAGTGACTTTTAATTAGCACTTTTTGGTTTTCATTGTTCAGTCACTTAACATTTCAACTAACTCTCTTGTCATTTTCATAAGTCACTGAACAGTACTGTCATTTTCACAATGAATAAATTGATTAACTTGCCAATATTATGGTGTTTCTGATTGAAAAACACATTTCATATTATCACTTCTCTAAATCATTGGGGGATATATCTCTAACTTGAGTGATTTTACAGGAGGAATTTTCTGTTAATCATGAACATAAGGGTGGAATAAAAGTAGAGTCAAAAGAAACTCCAAAGTAGTTTCTTTAAAGAATGAAACCCAGAGCCTACTGCGTAATACACAATGGTGTATAGAATTTTTCTAAAATCTGGCAGCCATCTGGGCGGCCAAGAGGGGAGAACTCATTGGCAACACCGTCACTCAGGTTTTTAGATTATATTCCACTTGTATAGATTTAGCTTTGAGTATTAAGTATGACTCCATAAATAGAAAATGGATTTTTTTAACATGCTAAATGTGTAAAGCTGAAAAATGTATTTCAGTGTAGTCACCTTGAAAAATCACCTGCCTGCTTCTCTTTGGGACTAAACCTTCAGACCCGATTCATGAGCCAAAGAAGGCATTCAGGTCATGCCTCTGTAGGGACCCCTGTTCCCTAGAAAGGAGAAGAAGGGGGCGGTCAGTATACATGGAAAATGCCAGTTTTGTTCTCTAGGCTTGTTCCCCATGGTGGGAATGAGATTGGGGCCATAGGAAGGATAATGAGATATTCAGTTTTATAGTTCAAGACTTTTTCCTTTATAAAATTTACCTCCTTTCTAGTAACAAATTTACCCTCCTTAGCATTTCTACATCCATCTCAATACACCTTTAAGATACCTCACACTTAAAGAAATGCTTATGCAGTGTCAGTAACTGTGGCTCAGAGATTTTTTCCAGATTTGCTGCCCATGGCAGTTATGCCATCCTCAAATGGCACATTTGGGACTGGGCTCAGACACAGCCACAAGATAGGCCATTTCAGCTCTGTTCCCACTGTCCCTTCCTCTTTCCCTATCGGGAGCTTCTTTCTGTTCATAAAATTTCCTTATTCTGTCTGCCCACCAACCCACTGTCAAAAACTGGACTTTGATAATTTTGCCTCAACATGGTGTTTCCCTAGGAACTTTCAACATTTTGCAGGGTAGAGGGGAAACAAATCCCCTATTTGGCCTAAGCTAAAGGAATGAAGCTCTGATTTGCCATTCTAGTTCTTGAAGGTGAGCCTGTTCAGGATTTTCATAGGGTGGCAAGTCTTTCCAATACCCCTCAAGCTACATTCTGGAGCTGCACGTCTACTGTGCCTCCTCACAGCACTGGTCCTAGCCTTTAATGCTGCAAGCAAAAAGCGACTCCAGCAAATACCCGTGTTGGTGAGACTGTGGGTAAGGTTCAGCACTTCCCAGTGGAATGTGGTGTAATGATGGAGTTCTTCTATGATCTGTGCTGTCCAACAGCAGTAGTCACTGGCTATTAAATGCAGCTGGTAGGACTGAGGGACCAATTTTTCATTTTATTTTATTTTAATTACTTTACATTTAAGTAGCCACATTCACCTAGTAGCTACTGTGTTAGACAGTATAAGTCTAGTTAATGATGTTGACTCTAGCATTAAGTCTATATTAAGCCCATTTTTTCCAAGCCAGCATGGTCTCAGAGAAAGATGATTTGGAGATTACATTTATTGTTTCTGTTTCTCAAGGCTTGGGGATCTCTGGCTGGATTCCAGAAGCCAGAGTCTGACACACTATAAAGTTGCAATAGAAATCTAATAAAGTTGGAAGAATCAGGAGCTATCTTTTGTCTATTAATTCCTATGAGAAACAAAGAGCCTCTTCAGTTCTTGTTTTGAGCTCTCATGTGACTAGAATGCCATTCCTCAGTGTATATATTTTGAAGGCTTACCATGGTCTCAATGTTTGAAAAGGTTCAAATGATTGATAAGACCTAGCTACTGTTCTTCTGGACAGTGAAAACGTAAATAGTTATGAAACAATTAGAAACATGGGGCAATTAGAGACTAAGAGAAGTGCCCAACTCAGATGTACTGGCCATGAACTGAGTAGGAACTCTTAGTCGAAAGAGATGACTGTACTCTGGTTTGGGTATAAAACTTAGTAGAAAAGATAGGACAACAGTCACAGCTTGAAGGTGGGCTTTGATTTGGATAAACCAAGAGGAAAGAAAAGGCATGTTGGAGAGTGTTCAAAAATCAGATTGGGTATTTTGAAATGGGAGATTTGATGAAAACCTTCAAAAAGTAAAGAACTTGGCCATGTTAGGACAGATTATAAGCAATCGCTGGTGCTTTTTACTCAAGGGCAAAAGTACTATGAAAGCAATGTTGTAGGAAAATCCTTCTGGCAATAGGACCCTGTGTAGATAGCAGGGGTAAGAGACAGGGGTTATGGAAAGCCCCTTGGGCCTGTTATTCCGATGTAGGTAAGAGGTGCCGAGGAACTATAGCAGTGTGGTGTGCCATTAAGCCATTTTTGCATCCACAAATATGTATGGATCTAAAGATGAACAACATTTTGTCTTTTCATATTTTATATTTTAAAAGCATGAAGGGATTATTTTCTTTGAAAGAAACTTCGAATATTAAATTTGCTCATCACACTTCCTTGTAAAAACGTACTAAAACTCTTTGCTAGCAAGTTTTCTCATGGCTAATATGATCACAAAATTTAACAACCGAGCTATGGGCTGATTTGCCAATTGTTGAAATATGTTTATGTGTAGGGACAGTTTATGTCATCAGTGCCCATTAGACAGGAATATAGTGTCTACAGATATAAGAGCGTAAATGTTGCCCACCTAGAAATGACAGTGCCCCTTCCAAGGTTTTCTTTCCAGGTCAATATGAGAACAACTAATAAAAGCTAATAGTTGCAGATTCTAAATATTGATTTTGCTGTGAATTTAAAATTCCTATGAGTAGAAGCCATCCTGGGAAAATGTATGTATAGGATCAACTTTCTCTAATTATATTTTCTAAAAGCTCTTGAATGTGATCAAAGCTGAACCTTTTGCTGTTAGTATTGTGATTGTATCTTTGTGTTAGTATTTTCACATGGTGACATTTTACTATTCAAATGGATCAAGGAAGTGAAAAACACTTAAGTTCTTGTATATTATTTATTATATATATTTAGATATTGCATAGATTTTAGATGTTATTGTGATGTTTTATATATGCATTATGAGATATTATGAGATATTACTTATATATCAATTATTATAATGTATGTCATTTGCTGAAATTTTGTTTTTAGATATATTTTCTTGTATCCGCCTCTGTTTCTTACGTCCACTGGCAACATAAGTGATACAGTTTCACCATTTATAAGCATTTCCTACAAATGCCTAATATAGTAGACATCAGCAATTTAGTCCATAATTAAAAATCAGTATCTGAAAGAGGGACTAGTATCCCAATTTTACAAATGAAAAATGAAAGTTCAAAGTGGTTAAGTGACTTAATGGCTTAGCCAGTAAATACTCCAGCTTCATTATCAGGAAAGTGGGGATGATAATACTAGGCCTTACCTCACGGCGTTCAGGAAATATTTAAGATTACTCAGACCAGTAGCTGGCACATGGGAAGCATTATATAAGTGCTGGTTAAATAAAATTAGAAAAGCAAGTCTGTACAACTCTTTTGGAGAAGTTAAAATGCATAGGAAGGAAGACTTTCCAAAAGAGTTATTTATACTTTCACCCTGAATCTTCACATCTGTCAAAAAAGACTGCAATAAGCCTACTATTAACCAAAGGAGTATTTACCTTTTACTGGGTGTCTTTATTTATCATTGTGATTCAAATTGATGTCTTTGGGCCAGAGAGCCTCAATTCAAATCCTGACGCTTCTGCGTACCAACTGTGTGACCGTGAGTAACTTTTTGTGTCTCGGTTTCACCTGTTTAATCTCATCATGTTGTAAGTATTAAAGTAGCTATTATCTGTAATGTCTAGCTAGATAGATTCAGTAGGAACCTCTTTCTGATAAAAAGGTATCCAAGCTAGATATCTGTATTGCCTTCTGGAATTTATCGTAGACATATTGGGGTGCAGCATACATAGGGTGAAAGTTTTTCCCAAATTTCCC